GTGGAGGGGCCGGGGGTGCCGTCCCCCTGCGCTCCTGGCCCCGTGCAGGGCGCACATCCCCGGGGCTGCACAGCTCGGACCCGCTTTCAGAGCACCCCATGCTTCATTTTAAACAAGAAGCTGTTTTTTTTTGGCACAGATCTGCGGGCAGCAGCACGCTGCTATTGATCTCCAGTTTAAAATTCTCCTCTTCCAGGAGTGTGGGCGAGCAGCTGACCCCCCTCCCCTTCTCCAGAAACTCCAACGATGACGCTCGATGCATCGACTTGCTCCATAATAAAACGACTTCCTTGCCGCACACCTTTAATTAAATAAGGCTAATAAGCCTTTTTTTTTTTTTTTTTTTCCTTTCCTGCATGCCTGATGCCTTTCCCCTGGCAGCCAGGAGAGCCAGGGCTGCCTGTTGGCGTGCGCTGTGCCACGGGATCGCGGGGGTCCGGTGCTGCGGGGAGGGTGCCCGAGCCAGAAGTGCCGCTTGCCTGGAGCTGTGCTCTGACAGCTCTTCCCAAAATCTCTGCTTCCCCTCGCCTCCTGCAGCCTTTCCAGGGCTCGGCAGCTTTTCTGCAGACAGCACCTTGCACCCAGACCCCGAGATGTCACCACTCGGTGCCCGGCTTTGCGGGATCGGGGAGGACGTGGAAGCCCTCGCCGGGCAGCTCCCGGGCGTGCTGCTGCGGTTCAAGCTCTTGGCTGGAAAAGCGGTTTAAAAAAAAAGCAATATCTTTATATGTGGCCGTAATTGCTGGATGTTTGATGGTCGTAGAATTTAGTTAGCGTCCTTGCTTTTATATTGATTTTTAATGTTTATTTGCAAAACCTCAAACGTGTGTCCAAGTTCTTGAACGGCTTCCCAGAATGATCTACTGGGCCGCTTCCCCTCCGATATGAAATCCCATTTTTACGGGCCAGCAAAACGGTATTTAATGGTGGCTGACAGGGCGGTGTTTAAGGGCGATATGTATTGGCCACTTAAACGTTTCTATTATCCGACTCCCGGCACAGATCATTGCGTTTTAGTTGTTCTGGGAATTGCGGGAGGGGTTGCGTTTTTCATCAGCGTCACCAAGACGTGGCCGTGGGGGACACCCAGCCCCTCCTTGGCCAGCTCAGTGCCGTGGTGGCTTCTGGCACGGCGTGGCACGGCATGGTGTGGCTCCCAGTGGCTCCCAGTGTGCCAGTGGCTCCTGGTGTGGTGATGGCTCCCAGTGCAGTGGTGGCTCCCAGTGTGCCAGTGGCTCCCGGTGCAGTGGTGGTTCCCAGTGCAGTGGTGGTTCCCAGTGTGCCAGTGGCTCCCGGTGCAGTGGTGGCTCCCAGTGCAGTGGTGGTTCCCAGTTCAGCAGCACATCCTGGCCCAGCGGTGGCTCCCAGCACATCACGGCAGGGCTTGGGGTGGGTGTCCTGGATTATCAGGGCCGGGTGTCCCGGCTGAGCGTGGCTGCAGCCCCGCGTGTCTCTCCAAGGTCACCGCTTTTTCTTTTCTTTTAAGGCAAACGTTTGCTTTTGTGCAATTCCGTGGAGAGCGGCGGCTGCGTTTGCAGAAGAGGCTTTTAAGCACTTGAGCGCTGCTTCCAGGGCCGGCTTTTCCCCACTCCTCATTAATGCAGCGGCGATGTTTTACCCAAGCCCTGGAAATCCTTGGTTAAGTGGCGAGTGGAGGAGCCCTCGGGGAGCTCTTGTTCCCCGCCGGCCACGCTCCGGGCGGGCTGGAGGGCGCAACCCCCGGGATCCCAGGCTGCCACCCCCCCACAAGCAGAGCTCAGGCGTCTTTGCTGGTGACTCCCGAGCCCTCCTCATGCAGAGGCTGTGGAGCTGGCATCAGGTCACTTCGTGGCTGATTTTAATCGGAGCTGGCGGGCCGAGCCCCCGCGGCGCTGCGCTGCGGGCCGGGCGCTGCCGGGGCTGTGCCAGGCTTCGCTGCTCGCTCCCGACAGCCCCGTCCTCGCTCCTCCCCTTCCCAAACGCCCGTCTTGGACGGGATTAGGAACTTAACAGCCTGTGCCAGATAGACACTTAAACAAGCAATAAATTTGGAGTTCGTTAGTGAGGATTAATTGGTGTTTGCACAGGGCTTTGCCTGTGCAAAGCAGCAGATAGGAGCCAGAGCGGTGTTATTTGCTTTGAGGCTTCGCTGTGACCTTGTTGGAGTTCAGGAGCGGCCCGCGGTGCCCGTCCTGCTGCTGGCAGCTTTCTGCATGGCTCTGCTGGCGTCCCTTTGCATCCCGACCCCCACATCCCATCACGTCCCACTGCCCACATCCCCTTTGCCATCCTCTTTTGCAGAGGCGCATGGAGGGCAGCCGCCCGTGCGCAGAGCCAAATGTGCCCTGGGCCACCCAGGAGCCTCCAAGGTGGATGTCCTGGAGCTGCTTGGATGGAGCCAGGGAGCACCAGGCAGCCGCTCGCTTTGCAGGGAGGAGAGGGTGGGTTTGGGTGTGTGGGGGCTTGGCTCCGGCTCCTCCTCACCTCGGGGTTCCTGACTCCTTTCCACTTAGGGGAGCGGAGAGCAGGGAGGTGACCCCTGGGGCACGCAGCGCTTCCAGGGCTCTCCTGAGCCCTGCAAAGTCACTGCCCCAAAGCAGCTGCCCTGGGATTTTGGCTGCACTGGTGGCTCTCTTGTGCCGTGCCGCAGGCGTGTCCCACGAGATGCTTCAAGTCACCAGCTCCCAGAGAGGCACGGGGCGCCGCACGCCGCCGCAGCCGGCCCTTTATTCCGTGGGCAGCGCACGGCTCCGTCTGGGCCACGGCTCCGCTTGAAAAAGAATCGATATTTGGCAGCAGGCAGCAATCAGTAAATGGAAGCTGGCTTTGCTTTGCGCCGCGTTTGTTAGGATGTAATTGGGAAGGGGTGGAGGGGGAGGTCGGCAGCAGCTCCTGCGCGCTCCTCACCGCCCGCGAGCGGCCGCGGCTGTGCGGGCGCGCGGCTCCTCGCTGCCCCTCGCTGTCCCTGCGTGCCCCTGGGTGTCCCTGGGTGTCCCTTGGTGTCCCTGGGTGTCCCTTGGTGTCTCTCAGGACTGAGACAAGCCCTCGAGCCCTCCCGCTGTGCCGGGATGCGGGTGGGAGGCACGGCGGAGCAGCGTCCCCGCAGCATCCCCGTGCGGCTCCCCGTCCCCTGGAGCTGTCTCCCCGTCCCCACGCGGTGATTTTTCAGCGGGGTGATGGCTGCTGCTGCCTTCTGCTGCTCCGCAGCGCCGGGCTGTGAAATGAGGAATCAGTCAGCCCTGCTGCCTGGCGGGGAGCAGCCCGGCCCCGCTGCGAGGTGACGAGGCCGGCTTTGTGCTGCCGGGGATGCCCGGGGGGTGTTTGGAGAGGTGGGGGGGACACGGTGGCAGCTCCGTGCAGACCCCGCTGCGAGCGCCGTGGGATTCATCACGCGGCTCCACTCCAGCTCTGGCACGGGGCTGGGAATTTTTCTGGCACCAGGCAAGTGGTGGAAACGCCTCCGTCCCCGGGGAGGGGAGCGGTGTGAATAACGCATCCTGCCGCTGCGTGCTGCGCTCGGGGCTCGGTGCCGGCGGTGCCAGCACTCCTCGTGGCAGGGGCCGTGCTCTCCGTGCAGGGTGCCTGATTTTTCCTCCAGCCACCAGCCACATTTTTCCTCCACCTCTCCAGCAACGTGGCCTTACGATGCCCGTGCCCTCACCTGGCTTTGTACAGGTGGGGGTGAGGAAAAAGCCCCCGCTGTGCCATAAAAGCTGCTGAGCGCACCAAAAGCCCCCCTGGGCCGTGGTGCAGCGTCCTACATCACGGGTCCGTGCCGGCCTCCCCCAAGTGGGCATCGGAGCTCCTTTTGGGAAGAAATCCTGTCTCTGCTGACCCCGTGCCCTGTCCTCGCTGCACCTGCAAAGGGGTTTTCAGCCTCTGCGTGGAGCAGGGGCCTCCTGCGGGATGGGTTTGGCACCGCTGCTGCTGGCTGTGGGATGCCCTCGCAGGATCCCACCGTCTCCAGCAGCCGTGGCTGCGCTGAGCGGCACGGGGAGGGAGCAGGTCCAGCGAGCAGCCTGCGAGCGGTGCCTGGGAGATCATCAACTCTATCAAAGCCTCATTCATTACGGGAGAGCGTGGAGCGAAATCGCCGCCGTGGCTTTGTTCGCCTGCTCCCTCTCCCATCTGATTCATTTCCTTCATTTCCTGCTGCTTCTGCCTTATCTCGTTCCTTTCCATTTTCTCCTCCCTTTGCTTCCCCTGGCTGGGCACCGAGGCTGCGCCGCGCTGGCTCTGCCCTGGGCTGCTGCGGGCACAGGACGGGGTCCCAGCGCCGCCGTCAGGATGGGTTTTTGCTATCCAGGCACCGAGGGGCAGACGCAGAAGCAGCAGGCGTGGGGCAAGGGGCAGCAGAGCTGGGGACCGATGGATTTGCAGCCTGACCGTGCTCCGGTGAGGGTCTATCAAGGGAGGGCAGCAGCTCGCAGCCCCCATGCCCTGCGGTGTGCACCCCCCAGCTCTGTGCCATGGCTGAGCTCCGGCTGTGCCACGAACAGATCCTGGGCACGGTGTCACCTGCGGGCACGGGGACAACTGGGGACAACTGCTGTATGGGTTTACCGGGGCCACCAGGTAGCAGCACCCAGCTCCTCCCTTTGCCCTGCCTGATGGGTCCCCATCACGCTGCAGGGAGCTCTTATTTCAAGAGATGAAACCCTGCCCAGAGCCAGTTGTGGGTTTCCATGCCCAGCAGGAGCCCACCCCGGGGTGCTGGCACTGGTGCTGGCTCCGGCTCCGTGCCGAGGGCCACCTGGCAGCGGCGCAGGCAGCAGTGGGGACATTTGGAGCCACCAGCTGGGGGCTGCTCCACTCCTGGCAGCGTGGCTGTGATCACCCTCGAGCTGGTGGCAGCCAACCCAGCCTCTCTGGTGCTGGTGTTGGGTCCAGGAGTCCTGTCGAGCCTCGGGACGGTGGTGCTGGGTGCCCCCCGGGCGCAGCAGCAGGGCTCGGTGGCACTGTGCAGATGGGAGCAGCGCCTGCCTCCAGCACCAGGGTGCTGCTCCTCGCCTCGTGCTGCAATGCTGGGCGGTGGGCGACGTTCCCAGCACCAAAATCCCCCACTTTCAGCTGCTGCTGAATCTCTGCCTCGTCTCCAGTCCTCACATCGCGCCCATCCGAGCGAGAGCAGCCCCGGCTCTTCCTTTGGCTGCGGTGCAAACTTGGTGCTCAGCTCGGGGCTTCTCCACCTGCTGCAGCCGTGGGCAGCTCCTTGGGGCTGCACCAAATGCTGGCACGGCGCACGGTCCCCGCCAGCTCCCCGCCAGCTCCCGTGGCAGCGTGAGTGGTGAGGAGTGGTGGTTTTGGGGTTTTTTGCTGTAATTGCAAAACTTCGGGAGCAGGAGAGAGCACCTGTGAGTGCTGCAGCTCTTCTCCAAGCCTTCCAACGTTCCCACTGCTGCTGAAATCCCTGGGGAAAGCGCCGTAGACTCGGTGCCTCTGTCGTGGGTGTCGTGTTGAGCTGGCTGAGGTCTCAGGCTGAAGGCGCATTTCGGCAGTCCCTAGGGAGAGCCCCTTTTACATGAGGATCATGAAAAAACCGGTGGCACATTTTGTGCCTGCGAGCTCTCGCTGCGCCTGGAGCCTGTGCAGCAAAGCACAAAGTGTCCGAAATCACAGACACGAGCAGTTTGTCCAAAATGAGAGCCGCAGAGCTCGTCCACAATCACAGACACGAGCAGGGAAGCTCCCGAGGGGGAGCTGCCACCGCGGCCCTCCGGAGACGGAGCCCAGCAGCACGTTGGCTTTTAACGCGAGTTATTTAAAAGAATGGTGGTGGCACAGCCCGTGGGGGACAAGCCCTTTAGGGCAGTGGGTCTGGGGGCACCGTATCTGATCCAGGAACTCATCAGTCCCCAGAGCTGGGTTGTTGGGGACACGCAGGGACGTCACCGTGCGCCCACCCTCGCCCTCTCCAGGTGCCCACCTTGGGTGCTCACGGTGCTGGGGGCAGGAGGGACCCACAGCCCTTGGGGAACTGCTGGCACCGGGGGTGGTTCTGGGGGCTTGGAAATCCCAGGGTGAACCTAAAAACCGACCCAAAAGCAGCCGCGTGCCATCCTTTGAGCCCGCTCCAGCAGGTTTTGGGTGCGTTGCACCTCCCTCACCCCTCCGCACCCCTTCCCTTGGCGTCTCATCCCGCAAGTGCTATTAATCACGGCCAGTAACGAGCTCCTCTAACGAGCAACTTTTGTGCAGGAACCTGCGTGAGCAGAGGCCGTGCACCCAGCTTGCCAGCTTTGTTAATTACCGAGCTCTCCTCGTTTCGTGTTCCCCTCTCCTGGGCGGGAGGTGGCGAGCAGGGGAAGGGGCTGCGGCTGCGTGCGGCGTTTGGGGTGTGCTGGGTTTTGGGGTGCTCGAGGTGCCTGGATCAGGGCTGAGGGGCTTTTGGCAGCCCCATGGCTGCAGCCGTGCTCGGTGTGCCCCACTTGGTCAGTGTGAGCCCCCCATCTGCTGTCTGCGCCCTCCCGAAGCACCCATGGGTGCTGGGTGCTGGGGGTCTATTTGGGAAGGGGAGCGCACCGCGATGCTCCAGCTCCATGGGGGGGTTTTGTGAGCTCAACGTGACCTCTGTGCCCCTTTCTGCCCCTCTTGCAGGACAAGAACAGGAAGCTGAGGCCCCTCTACGACATCCCCTACATGTTCGAGGCCCGGGAGTTCCTGCGCAAGAAGCTCATCGGGAAGAAGGTACGGAGAGGGGCTGGGGCCAGCGGCGAGGTCCTCGCCCGCCCTCGGTGCGGGTGGTCCTGGGGGGCCCCGGTTGGCCAGGGGGGGCTCAGCACCGTGGTTCTGGGGTCAGCAGGATCGGCTCCATGCAGCAAATTGCCGGGGGCACCCAAAGCTGGAGCATCCTCGTGCCTCAGCCCTGCTCCCTCCCTGGTGCCGTGGCGTGTTCTGGTTATCCAGGAGGGCTGTGTACCTGCAGGATTTCATCTTTTCCTTTGTTTCCCTGGCATATTTTTCGAGGCTGGTTTAGAGCAGTTCGGGGGAATGAAGAATATAATGTGCACTTAACTACTGAAGCACATGCTCAGGATGCAATTTTCAAACGCTCATAAAATGGTCAAATAAAATCAATTTCCTTCATAGCGAGGCTGCTCACTGCTGCTCATTGAGGACTATTTCCATGCCTAATTGCATCTTTCCATTTCAGAGCCCTGTTTATATATTAAAAAAAAAAAAAAAATAGCAGCTTGCGAGACTTTTATAATGGGAAGTCTGTCACTTGCCGTGCTCGAAAGCGGCTGCGAGGATGTTGCTGGGGCTTGTGAAGAGAGCTCAGGTCTCTGAAATGGAAACAGCCTCGTGCCAGCACCTGGAGCAGCAGCAGCAGCAGCAGTGCTTGCACCTTCCTGCCCAGCTGGGGGCTTTTGAGCTGTGGGATGCCCCTGGATGAAGGGCAGGAGCCGTGGTTGCAGGGGGATGCCCTGGTGGGCAGCTTGGGGGAGCACGAGCCCCCCGTCCATGGGCTAAAAGCAGGGTGCTGCTGGACGGGGGGCGGCTGCGCCCTGGCTGCCCCAGCACGACCCCTGTGCAGGCTGATTGAAGGCACCGTGCGCCCCTCGTTTGGGCAAGGACTGGCACCTTTGGGTGCTCTGATGGCAGGGGAAGGCTCCAGCGTGCCCAGAGCCCAGGAGGAGCAGTGCTGGGTGCTTGCTGTGCAGGGCGAGGCGGCGGTGCTGGCTGCAGGGAGGTCGCGGAGCGCCGTGCCGGCACAGCCGAGCACCGTGCCAAGCTCCAGCCCCTTCCTGCTGCTGTGCCAGGCCGGTGCCGTGTCCCGGTTCGGCTGGGGTGGAAGAAGATTGTGTCCCTGGCAGCACCGGGTCAGGGCTCCCCCACCCTGCCCTGCTTGGCTGCTGCTCAGAGCCGCGGTTTTTCTCCCAAATTTTGCTTGCGAGCCACGTGCCGAAGGGCACGGCCGTGTCCTGGCAGTGCTGGGAAGGAGGAGAACGAGGAGGAGGAGGAGGAGGAGAAGGAGGAGGAGGAGGAGAAGGAGGAGGAAGAGGAGGAGGGTTCTGCCTTCCTCCCAGCCACCAGCACGGGGTTCCTCCGGGCGCCGTGCCCGCAGGGGTGGGCGCAGGATCGGTCCCAAGGGAGGCAGGCGGCGGCGCAGCCTCGCTCCTCCTGCTGCGCTTGGACGGCTTTCAGCAGCACAACGAGCAAGGCAGGAGAGCTGCCAAGTGCCAGCGGTTCCCGAAGAGGCTGCTCGGGAGCCAGTGACCCCCCGAAATAGCAGCAGAAAGCCGCTTGGCTGCGGGTGGGGGCAGGCTCCCCCGTAAAAAGCCCCCGATCACCTTGCGGCGCGGCGTTGCGGCAGCCCTGGGAGCCGGGCGCCCCGGTGCCTTTGATGTTGCCTGGTTTGCTTTAGAGATATTTCCTTTGTCAGCTCCACGTTTTTCACTTCAGATTAATTTGATTGAGTAAAGCGAGGAAAAAAAATCCTTTCCGTTAATGATCAAAACAGCCCCTCGAGGTTGGCGGTGCGTTCTGATCTGAAGTGACAGCCCCGCATGCGGTGGCGCGCCCTTGCCTTCTCACGGCTGGCTGTCAGCAGCAATCTTTGCGGCAAAATTCCTCCTTGCCCACCCCCTTTTGAATATACTTTTTAAACCCCACCCCGGCAGGGAATTAGCGATTTCGGAGAGCTGTCTCCTGCCGGGGAGATCAAACGGGGTGGGCTGGCGCCGCGCTGCGTGCGCTGGCGGCGGAGAGCCCAGGGAGCTGTGCCACCCCGCAGCCACGCACGCGTGGTCCTCACCCCCCAAACCCCCTGAGCACCCACCCCAGCTTGGCCCCGGGGCTGAGCACACGCTGTGCCCCCCCTGAACCCCTTGCCACCCCTCATGGGGCACGGGGATGGGGATGGGGACACGGGGATGGGGCTCTCCGTGCTCCGCCGTGGCAGGGAGCAGCCGCCCGCCCTCCTGGTGCCTGCTGTTCCCCTGGCCCGGCGTGGCAGTGTGACAAACCCTGGGCAGGATCGGTGCTGGCAGCAGCTCCAGAGGAGCGCGATCATCCCCTGCGAGGCTGATGAATTGGATATTAGGAATAATTAGGCCAGGAGGAGCTTTCGGGCTGGCTGCCGGTGCTTCACCAGCCGCCGCCTCAGCCGCGAGCAGTGAGGCGCAGGGCTTGGCCCCGGGCTGCCTGTGGGACAAGGGACAGGGGTTTGTCCCCCCTGTGGGTGCTGTCCCTGCACTCTGGGGACCCTCCCGGTGGCTGCTGCCCCTGCACGGCCCTGGGGACCCTCCCCGCCGGCCCTGGGGACCCTCCCCGCCGGTGCCGTCCTTGCGCAGCGGTGACCTTGCCTCCTGGGTGCTGTCCCTGCGCGGTGGCAGGTCCGGAGGGTGGCTGTGACACTAGAGGGAGCTGCGCTGTAGGAATTGCAGAGCCAGGTGTCCCCTGTCCCCCCCTCCACCCCATCCCACCCCAACGTACCCCATCCCACAGCGAGTAGCACCCTGGTCACCCAGACCCCCGCCGGGTGACCGCTCGCAGCCGCTGTCACCGTCCCCTGCTCTCCGTCCCGCAGCGCGGTCCCTGCGCACCCCCACGAGGTTCCCTTCCCTGCCCGCACGTTTTGGGGCTCTGCACGGGCTGGGGGAGGAATTGGTGCAGGGCCAGGGCTGCCTGGAGCCACTGGAATCAGGCAGGGCTTTGCTCCTGGGTGACTTCAGGCAGCCTGCAGGGTCCCCTCTCTGTCCCAGGGCTGCTGTTAGCCGAACCCGAGGGGACACCCACGCCTCTGGGACCCCTTCCCGGCAGGGTGGGTGTCTGTGGCCAACCTTTGCCTGTCCCCCTCCCAGCGTCTGCTCCCGTTCGTGGTCTGACATCCTCCTCCTCTCCCTCCTCTTCCTCCTGCCGGGTGGGAGCAGCAGCAGCATCCCCAGCCTCACCCGGTCCTGCTGCCGCCGCTCTGCTCCCAGCTGGCGAGGGCGACCATGCCAGATCCTTCCCACTTGCCCTGCTGGCCCCACGGCCCCCATCCATCTCCCTCAGCCCCCAGTAGATCCCATGGCTCGGCCGGTGCTGCTCATTTCACCCCCAGTTCACCCCCAGAGCTGGGCACCAGTAGCTCCCCATTCCTTTGTGCCTTGCGCTTCCCCATGGGGACAGGCAGCAGCCACCCGGCTCCGGGGACCCCAAGGTTTGCTCGAGCACCTGAAGGTGGAGGGGGGTGACAGCAACCCCCCCCGCATCCCCCTGCACCCTCAGCCTTGGGGTGGGGAAGGTGCAGCGATGGGAAGGCAGCAGGGGCTGGTTTTGGGGTCAGAAGCCCCAAATCCACCAGTGTGGGGTGCTGGGACCCCTCGGTGACCGGGGGACGCAGCCGCAGGTGCCTGGCCCTGCCACAGAGCCTGTCCCCAGAGCGGGGACAGCCCTGCCGGCCCCCCCGCGCTGTGCTGCCAGGCAGGGGGGACCCCGCAGAGGGTGTTTCCCAAACCCCGTTCCAGCAGTGGGCTTTGGCACGCCGGTGGGAAGCAAATTAATGCCTCGCTGTTTGACGCCGCTGGGATTATTCCTGGCAGCGCCGAGCGCGGGCAGCGTGGTGGCTCCGCCGTGCTTCCCCTCTCCTCCCCGGGCCGTGGGGGCATTGCGGGGGCATCTCCACGTCCGAGCAGGTGACATGGGCTGGGGCTGAGCGCCTCGGTGCCCCTCTGCTGCTTCCTGCTCCTCCACCGTGTCCAGCCCCTGGCTGCTTGGGGTGCCCCCTTCTCCCCGGCAGCGACGCGTTGCAGCGGTGCCTGCCTCAGGCTCTGGGTGGGCAAAAGGGAACCCAGAGCAGCGCCTGGGCTGTGCCGTGGCTGATTTGGGGGCTGCGTGTGTGCATTTGGGGCGAGCAGGGGCTTGGGGACCCCTTTGGGATCCCGGGGACGACTGCGGGTCCAGCCGGCACAGCCGGCTGCGGGGCTGCGCACACAGGGCTGCGGAGAGGCTTTGCTCCTGGAGCCCTTTTCCCACCTTTGCTCCTGGAGCCCCCTTTCCCATCACTTTCCCATCATTTTCGGCCCTGTGGCACCTCGTTCCCCGGCTGCTGGAGCCCAGCATCGCCCTCCAGCCGCCGCATCCCCCCGCGGCGCTGCGTCCCCGTGCCGTGCCACGGCGCTGCCGGCCCTGCGGAAGCGCAGGGGCAGAGCAATAGCTTTTCCCCGGGCCCCTGCAGTAAAAATAAAACCGCGGCAATAGCTTCCAGAAATAATTCCCTCTGTCCCCCCCTTCCCTGCGAAGAAAGCACTGGAGGGAGGGAGAAGGCGAAGAAATATTGCCGTGGCCGCGGCCGCTTCCTGCGCTCTGAGCCTGTTTGCTTTGCGTTTCGGGGAGCACTTATCACGTTAGGAGCGGAGCAGGGCTGCTGGTAACCACATTTGAATTCCCAGGGCCCGGGCGGGCGGGGAGTGGGGGGGTTGGAGAGGAGAGAGGAGAGAGCGAATCTCATTTATTTTCTCTCCTTCCCTTTCATCAGAGCAGCAGGAAGTTTTGGAAAGCGCCGCTGGTCATGGCGCATTGCTTCCCTACCAGACCTCTTTCGCTCTCGCTGTGCTCGGCTTGGCCTGATCCCAAACCTTGCCTGGGCAGAGAGACGGCGCTCGGGGGCCTGGGGGGACGCGGCCGCGTCCCCCCAGGCCCCCGAGCGCCGTCTCTCTGCCCGTCCTGATGCTCAGCATCACCGCATCCCCGTGCCCTCT